AGGTTCTGAACCTAGTATAACAAAGCCACATGCCGGATCCCTAGTAGGAACGCTTATTTGCATCATGCGCATTTGACTTAAGGGACTCAGCACAGGGGTTGGGTCCGTCTAGGACTAGCAACCTGAAGTGAAATGATCATCCTGCTGCATCCTGTGTGCTTTGTGCATTTACTTGTTTCAGACTTGCATGCTGACCGGCTTCAAAAAATCAGGAATATTGGAAAATTGCGAAAAAGAAGGAAGTAACTGTGTAGGGAGTTAATTGCCTATTTTTTTAAAAAAAAAAAAACCAATGCCCCAAATACTGGAGAAATTCTGCCGAAATTTTGAAAAAAATGAAAAGAAAAATATTTTTTATATAGTTTGTTTCACTCAAAAAAAAAAAGAAGCAAAAGAAAAAAAAAATAGAAAAGAGTCTCTTATTTTTAGGTTGAAGAATAGGTTAGTCATTTTGCTGAAACAAAAAAAAATCTTCACTTTGTCTTGTTTTCAAAATGCAAAAAAAAAAGAAAGAAGAAAACGAAAAATAGTTTGTCTTGTCATTGAAAAATGAAAATGAAAAAAGAGTCTTGTTTTTAAAATGTTTTTTTTAATTTATTTGTTTATGAAAATGTCAAAAATGAAAAAGGGGTCTTGCGTTGAACGTAGTTTTATTATTTTTTGCAATATATATATATATATATATATATATAAATCCAAAAAGTATTTTTCTTTATTTCCTTTCTAGAAAAGTTTTTTTTAGACCCCAATTTTCAAGAAACAAATCCAAAAATATTTTCCATTATTAATGTCTTTAGAAAGTCTTTTTAATTGTTTTAAATGAATAAAAAAAATATTTTCTTTTAATTTCTTCCAAAAAAATCCGAAAATATTTTCATTCTTCTTTCAAAATTGAAAAGAAAAGTCAAAATTCAAAAATATTTTTAGAAGCATTTCTTTCATTTAAAATAAAATTCCATGATGTCCCGAACTACGCGGGTTTTATTCTCACCGGATATGAGATACGTAGGCAACCCTCATCGGGTCCAACCTCCCTTTTTGCTAAAATAGCCAAAAACAAATAAATAAATAAAAAAAAACACATGTCAAAATTTTAATTTTGTCATGAATAAGCCGGGTGATGCTGTTTTGTCAAAAATAGCCGAATGTTCCCGAAAGGGACGCCGGAGGGCTGACTTTGCATAAACAGCCACTTTTCGGGTCATGTTTAAGATTTGGTCTAGTGGACCCCTACAGCCTTAAAAATCTTCGTCCCCGAGGCGTTGAAAGGCCGTGTTTGCAATGTTGAGTTTTCTATTTTTGAAAAATGATAAAAAGAGTCATAAATAAGTCGGGTGATGCTGTTTTTGTCAAAAATAGCCGAATGTTCCCGAAAGGGACGCCGGAAGGCTGACTTTGTATAAACAGCCACCTTGGGTCATTCTTTTTAGGGATTTTGGTCCAGTTGACCCACACAGCCTTAAAAATCTTCATCCCCGAGGCGCTGAAGGGCCGTGTTTGCAACACCACGTTTTCATTGTAATTTGAAAAAAAAAAACAAAGAGTCAGCGGTCATTGGAGGGTACAAGGAGTTTTTTCCAATTAAAGGACAATCGAAACGGGATTTGTTTATTTATTTCAAAGTCGCCACTTGGGAGATTCTTGGTGTCCCACGTCACCGGTTGAATCCCGAATCGAGGAAAAGAATGACTGTGTATTACAGTCCGCGAACCAGAAATCCGGATAAGGAATTCTGTTAACCCGGGAGAAGGTGTTAGGCATTCCCGAGTTCCGTGGTTCTAGCACGGTCGCTTAATTGTCATATTCGGCTTATTTATCTGATTTTATACAATTATGAGCTCATGTGCAAGTTTTAACTCTTTACCGCTTTTATTATTATATTTCAAAAGAATGTGAACATCGTTTAAAAACATGTCTTTGGATTGCGTCACATGAAATGCACCCGCAATCCGGAACACATTTTTATTCAATGTTTTGGGAGTTGGATTTGGGTCGCATGAAATGCACACCCGAATTTAAGAAGGTAAGATTATTAAAATGCGCCTAAAGAGTCTAACGCGTTATTATCTTTGGGGAAGACAGTGAAATTCACTAAACAGTCCTTCCCGAATTCGAAATATTCAATTAAACGTTTATTGAGGGCCCTA